ACCCCAGTGCTCCTTGCTGTTTCCTGTCTACTGCCCTGAACACTGAGCCTCAGAGGGTGGCAAGGTGACAGCCGAAAGGGTGGCCTCAGCCAGAACTGGGGACAGCATGTTGCTCATGGGACCTGGCTGGGCCGGGTGGCCTTGGGGTGCCTCTGTCCCCTCTGAGCCTCACTGTCGGACATGCGCTGATACCCCGAGACCCACAGTACCCCAGGAGGTGTCCCCGGAGGAGGCAAGTGAGACACTCACCCAGCTCATTCATGGCCCGGCGATACTCCTCGTCAAAGGACAGCTTCATGATGGCACAGGTGGCCTGGCAGATCTGTGGCTCAGTAGGGACAGGGGCTGTGGGGCAGGGGCAGGTCAGAGAAACACCTGATGCCCTGCCTGTCTCACCCTCCCGCTCAGAGGCCAGCCCACTCAGCTCTGAACTACCCTTGGCTATGGGCATGGCCAGGGCCTCCACAGTGGGGCCAGCTTGTCACCACAAGGGCCCAGCGGCTCGAGGTGGCGGAGCAGCAACTGTGCACCCACTGCATGGAGCCAGCACTCACCGCCAGTGTCGCTGGCACCGCCTGCGTCAGGGCTGCTGTCACGCGCGCGCAGCCAGTCCCAGCAGGTCTCGCAGTAGGCGCGGACCTGTTCCAGCACGTGCAGCACACGCATCTCCTTGCGTGCGAGGCCCTGGTCGGGCTGCGAGAAGACGATGTTGTGCAGCGCCGCATTGGCACGCATGCGCGCGTCCTTGGCACCTGGCGCCCCGGCAGAGCCTGCACCGCCTGCTGGCCCCAGCCCAGCCTCGGCACCGTGCAGGATCTGCAGCAGCAGCGGCAGACAGCCTGAGCGTCGCATGGCCACACAGCTCTCTGGCGAGCCGGACATGGCGAGAAGTGTGCGCGCAGTGTCCTCCTGGTCGCGAGTCGCCAGCATAGACAACAGCCAGAAAACCACCTCCACCTGCGGGAAAGGGGGTGGGTGGGCTCAGGGGCCTCAGCCGCCTGCTCCCCAGGGCACCCCAAAACATAGGACTCTTCTTCCCCTGCGGGGGGTGGGGCAGCATGCCTGGGGAGATGGATGAGTAGGGATGGCAGAAGCATACACTACGGGAAGACCGCCCCCAAAGGCGGCCGAATGCCTCCGGTGGGGTCTCTAGGAGCAGCCCCCACATGAAGGACAGTTTGACCATCCAGTGTATTCCCAAACACACAGGACATGTATTCCTGCTCGCCACCCAGGGCAGGTGGCTGACACCTCCGGGGCTGGATAGGGACAAGGGACCCCACCCTCACCTTGCTATTGCCCGGCTGAGGGGCGCCGTCATCCGGGTGCGTGGGGACCTCTGGCTCGGGGTCCTCATCCACCGGCACTGACTTCACTGCCAGCAGTGCCTGTGGGGAGAGAATCATGCTTGGGGATTCACCCTGAATGCACCTCACAGGGTCACAGGCTGCTGATGCCAGCTGGTTGCTGAATCCCCAGCAGTGCCTGGGGCCACCCAACTCTGCCCTAGCTGCTCCTCTTCCATAGTACCTGGGGCTCCGTCTGCTGCACCCGGTCCTGTGCCTCCAGCAGCTCCTTGTCGATCTGCTCCAGGCGAGAGGCACGGATCTGTGAGTAAGAGGCACAATGCGGTCGCTAGCTCCCACTATGGCTCCACCTACTATCCGGAGCCAGGCCTTGGCCTCCTGTGACTCCACCCACTCCTGGCTTTCACGCCTCCCACTGAGGCTCCACCCACTTCCCTTGTGGCTCCACCTACTGCCCAGAGTACAGCCCTTGCTCTGGCAGCTCCACCCATTCGTGGCTATGACCCCATGCACCCTATGGCTCCACCCACCATTTAGGGCTCGCCTTGTACTTCCAGGATTCCACCCACCCTTGGCTGTGACTCCACCCATTCCCACTGTCCCCACCCACTCCTTGGCAACAGTAAAGCACATGGGACAAACATTAATACAAAACCAAACGTGCAGTGAATCCCTGTGTTTCTGCATCAGCAGTTTCTCTGCACCCTTGGCTCTGGGCATACAACATGTGTTTGTCGCCAAAAATGTCCCCAAAGTTAGTTGATGTGCTCCACAATACTGTCAAAATCATTAACTCCGTTAAAAGCCGTGTTTTATTTGCATACTTATTACATGTACCTACATACCCGGGGTTGCGTAAACATTTCTCGGCTGAAAACGGAGTGCAGGTGGGAAAAGTTTACGAAGTCATGCATGTGAGGGAATGAAAGTGATGAGTGAAAAAGAAAGCTTAGCCTTTGAGACCGAGTCCTGATGAGGGGTAGCGCCGCTAGGACGGCGTGCACACAAGGCGTACTCAGAGCCGAGGCCGCAGCTAGGCCTTTTAAAAGCCAGCCTGTCCTCCCAGGACACCACCCCACCCTGGTGACCCTCCCACTTCCACTGGGGCTCCTCCTACTCCCACAGCGACTCTGCCTACCGTCCGGAGTGCAGCCCATCCTCCCAGGACTCCACCTCTCCTGGCTTGACTCCACCCATCCTATGGTGGCCCCTCCTACTTCCACTGTGGCCCCACCTACAATGAGGGGCTCCATCCACTACCCCATGTAGGCCGGCCCACTGGAGCCCAGCCCCTCCACTTAAGACTCCACCTCTCCTCTAATTCGCTTTCCCTGCTCCCTTCCAGCTCTGGCTCTACCCAGCATCTTGCTGGACCCAGCCCAGCCGGACTCCTCCACCCTCAAACGTCAACAGTCCTGTTCGCATCTGCTTTACCCACTGTTTGGATACGACTTCTTTTAGCCCTATGATTCCCCCCAACTAACCCCAATGCCCTCGCCCAGAGTAGCCCTCGCTCTCTGAGTAGCCAAGCGCGCGTCTCCAGTCCTCTCAGACTGACTCCACTGTCTTCCAGAACAGGTTGCATCCACCCACAAAACTGGCTCCACCCACAAACAGAGCAGGCGCTACCCATGCACTGCCTAGTCCCACCAATTTAGAGATTTGCCTCATCCACTCTCAGAAGGGCTCCCCTCACCCCAAGATCTTGCTCCATTCACTCACAGACCTGGCCCCACCCAACTGTATCAAATGCCAGTGCTTATTCAGACCTTCCACAACCGCATTTTAGACCCCACCACTTCTTTCAGGACTCCACCCCTAGTGATCTCTGCTCTCTGATTTGCCCAAAGCATATGACACCGCCCCTAAGAGTCTCAACCCTCTGACTCGCCAGCGAGCGGGTGGTCCCGCCCACTCGCCTAGGCCACGCCCACCTCACACGCCCTGCCCCGTCGCCCCCGAGGGCCCACCTGTGCTCGCTGTACCATCTCGTCAGAGGTGCCGAATCGCTCCTCCATCAGGGAGCGGATGTGCTGTGCCTCGAACTCCAGCTGCTGCCGGATCAGGTCCATCTGCATGGAGAACTGCTGGGAGGGGCAGCAGGCCGCGGTGAGGGAGCGCCAAGTGTGGTGCCCCTTCCCCCGCTGGACATCCCCAGGACTTACCGTGTCCACGTGTGGCAGCTCGTCGAGGCGCTTGGACAAGCCCTGCAGTTGGGAGTAATACCACAGCTTCTCCTTCTCCTCCTTCTCCATCTCGCTCAGCAGAAAGCACCTGGGGGTGGGGCGGGGCGGTGTGTGTGTGTGGGGTCACTCCCTGCTTGCCTTGGCTCTGGGTGGAGGCTTTGAGGGAGGGCTGCTGGCCTGACTGAGTAACTAAGCCCCGGTTGAACTGAAGGGGGGACGGGAACGGAAAGGCAGTGTGCCCCCTGGAATGTCGAGTGCAGAAGCAGGGAAGGGGCTTGCCTGAGGTCACACAGCCCACAAGGACCTGATGCCAGGTCCCTCTCCGAGCCCTCCCCACCCATGCTCACCCACCACTGCCCAGCCAGGCTGGAGCGCTGCTGGCCCTTTCTCCACAGAGCTTGCCTGAGCCCTGGCACTGGACACAAGACGGTCTGGGGGCTGGCTATGTGTCAGGGAACCAAGGGGCCATCTCGCTGGAGACGTTCCCTTGGCCAGGAGTCCTATTCTGCTTCTCACAGAAGCTGGGTGCCCAGGCTCTCACCTTTCCCGGTCCAGCTCCTCCAGCAGGTGGATCGTGGCCCTGCTCAGCTCCCCGACGCCATCCTTAGAGGCCCCAGAGCTGTGGAGGGGGCTCCCCTCCGGGCTCCGGGTAGGGGGCTCTGGGTCCAGGGCTGGTGGCTGGAACTTGAGGTTGTACAGGCTAGAGATGTCCACCTGCAGGGCTGGGCAGGGATAGGGCAGTCAGTGGGGCCCAGAGCCCTGTCTCTGAGCTCACATGCAGGGTGTAGGATGGGGGACAGTAAGCAGGGCCCAGCCCGCTGGCCCCCAACCCCACATGCAGGGTCCGGGGAGGGGGTCAGTCAGCTGAGGACCTGCCCCTCATTTTCTGGGCCCCACATGCAAGGTGTGAGGGGAGGCAGTCGGTAGGCGCCCTGTCCCTCTTCCCCCAGCCCAGCATGTGGGGGGGGGGGCGCAGTTAGTGGGGACCCTGCCCCTCGTGCGCCCGTCTCCCATGGAGGTTCCCTCACCTTTCAGCTGCTCCAGCACCTCTGTCTGCCCTGAGGACACCAGCACTCGGGCCTCCTGCTCTAGCTTGCATTGCAGATGCTGTAGCACCTCCTGTGAGGTGGGGGGCAGGGGGGATGGGGTTCAGGATGGCTGCTACCTGGCTTCCCTGCCCAGGCCAGCTCTTAGGCTCTATCCTTGTGACCTGTCCACCGTCCAGCCCCAGAGCCACCCACCTTCATGCCCGAAGTCTCCGTCTCCAGCTTAGACAGGTGGCTTGAGTTGTCACGAAGCTCCTGCCTCAGGTGGCTGTTCTCGGCCTTCAAGGCCTCCACCTGCCGCACCAGCTGCTCATACGACGCCACGGAGCTCGCCATCTTCAGCTCCTGCAGTGCCTGGGGCCACAGAGTCAGGGTCCGTGAGGGTCTGGGGAGGGGGCAGCTGGCACCCCAAGCCAACCCTGGCCCTTGAGCTCTCCCACCACATCAGGGCACCCAGGCACAGGCGGGGTGGCAGATGGAGTGACACCAGACATAGACAATGGCCTGAGGAGACTGAGGCAGGGACAGAGCCCCAGCTGGACACACAGACAGCCCAAATGCCCCACACAGGTGAGCTCACAGACAGACGGGCTGACCGCCAGACAGACTGAAAGCTGAGACCTTCCCTGAGAAGCCCAAAGGCAGGCAGGTGGGCAGATGGACACCCAAGAATACCCAGGAGAGGATGGCTGGGGGATGACTGGACAGACTGACAGATAGATCCAAGCCCATCAGGAGCACCTGGGGACCGCAAGCCAGGATAACCTGCAGCCCCCTGCTCCCTCCCTCAGCAGCTAGGTCTGAGGGAGCCACCTTCATGATCAGGCACCCCCGGCAGCCTTGGGCGAGCCCCGGGCAGCGCCCACTGCCACCTGCCCCATGCCCTCCCGCTGCCGCCGCCAGCCACCCCTTCTTGTCTCTAGCTGTCCTTTCTCGCTCTGGACCGTCCTCCTCCCTCAGGCCAGCTGGCCCCACCTCCACCCTCTGCTCAGACCTTCTGCCTGAGCTGGTGGTCCCAATCTTCCTCTTTGTTCCCTTCCCTCTCCCCTGCCTTTGTCTGGGACCACCAATGGCAGCCAGCCCCTGCAGCCCCGCCCACAGCCCCGCCCACAGCCCCCCATCCCCTAGACTCATTCATCCACTGCCGCATTTTCTCTCCCTCTTTTCCTTCCAATAAGTCCCACTGCAAACACCTCCCCCCCACCCCACCCCCACCCACTCTGGAACTACCCAGGGCACAACTGAGCGTGGAGTAGAGCTGGGGGCCTGACTGGGCTCCCAACCACCTGAGGACCTGCTGGGTGCCAGCACCCAGTGCCCAAGCCCGAGGGCGACCATCAGAACCAGACCCTACAGGCTCTGAAGGAACAGCCCAGCCTCGCTTGCTCAGACCTCAATCTATCTGAGCAGTGGGCAAGCTTGGCCGGCCAATCAGCTGACCAGACTCCCCCACACCGGCAAGGCCAGTGGGATGACATCGGGGCATATGGTCAGGAGACTGAATGGTGTCTCAGGAGGTTGGACCACAGCCTTGACCTCCTTCCCTGGTGCAGGTCATGCCCAAGGTTCTGTGTGGGTCATGGGTGTGAGATCCCAGGGGTCTGGCCCAGGCAGTGTCCTGCTGAGGCCATCACCATGGGTCCAGATGGAGGGAAAGCCCCAGTGCATGACCCTCTGGCTCTCCACACCCAGACCCCTCATGGGCCCCTCTCATGGGCATGTGACCCTCCCCCTCTTCACATCTGACAGTCACTCTGCCTTCTCCGCAGACTGACCTTGGCAGCAGGGACACTCGGTGGGCTGCCCTCAGTCAAGACTTGGGATGCCAGTTCCGCCAGGCTCTGTCCCACCCCGCACCCTCCCTGAGTGCCTTCCAGTCAGACACCCTCACCCAGCCTCCCATAGGGTCCTTCGGACAGGTAGCCGAAGGCCGCTCCCAACCTCTCCTCTCCAGCTCAACTCTCTCTCATGGCTCCCAGCAGCCTCAGGACCAAGACAACTCGCCCACAAGCCCACCGTCCTGGTAGCTCCCGATCCTTGCCCCCCTGTCCTGCCATCCTCACAAGGTGTGGAGTCGCCTCCTCCCGGAAGCCCTCCTGCTTGCCCTCTCTCCTGTTAGGCCAGGTACCTTCAGGGAGAAGAGGGCCACACTGGTCATGCCTCCCTCTGCATTGGGGTGGGAGTCGTAGCAGGTGTGAGATCAGTGGGCTCCCCAGACCCTTCGCTCTCCTCCAATCCAAAGCCCTGCTCTGCAGAAAAGGGCACTGAGTGCTGGTGTCGCAGCTCCAATCCCGCATGCAGCAAGCCACCGCCTGTCTCTGGAAACCTCTGTGAGTGGGTGTGTGCCTGCCACCGGCTTCAGCGACACAGATGCCCACCTTCCCCGGGCTCCATTTCTCCTCCAGCCCCCACCCAGAGCCAACCTTCACCGACAGGCGATAGGATGGACCCCGGGTAGCAGGCAGGTGGCGCCCCCTCCCCTCAATCCGTCAAGACGCCGCTCACCGTCTCACCCCTTGCGCTGGTGGACGCTCTGCGCCTGGGTCCTCGGCCCGCCCTAGCTCCGCAGGACCCACCTGGACCTGGGGCCTGGGCTCTTGGCAGCGCGGGCAGGGGGTTCCAGGACGGACAAAGCCGCGTCCTGGCCTGGCCAAGCGGGCGCAGCCACCTCCCCTGCGCGGGGCGAAACCACCATGCACGGGGGAGGATGCGGGATGCAGATGCAGGCGTGGCGCCCAATGGCAGCCCGGGAAGACCGACCAGTGCCATGGCAACAGCGAATGGCGGCGCAAGGCGGGGATAGCGGTGACCGCGGGGTGCAGGCACTCGGCCAGGTTTCAGGGCTGTATCTGAGGGGCGCTGAGCTCCCCACCACCACCAGGGAAAGAGGCGCCCGGGGAACCGGAGGAGGGCTCCCCACCGCCGGGAATGGGTGAAGTCGCCTCAGAGGCCCTGGGATGGGAGACTCAGGATTTGATGGGATGTTACATCAGAATCTTTATGGGGTGGGGGTTGAATGCTCCAGCCAGGCGAGCTTCCCTCCCCACCCCCACGAATCTGGTGGGCCCGGGTCAAGGTGTGACAATGCTTGTTGCGCCACCTGGTGCATCCTGAGTTAGGGCCTCTTCCCAGCCTCCTGAGTCTGTCTCTCTTCACAGCTGGAAGCCCCAGAAGGGATGTTGCTAGAGCAGGGAGGGGCCTGGAGCTTCAATGGCCCTGGCCCTCAGCTGTCCCTGGTCCCAGAGGCCATTTGAGGGTTTGTACCCACAGCCCATCTTTCCTGCTGTTAAAGTTGGAAACAGGAGGGGGCCGGGCCCAGCCCAGCAGGGCACATCTGTTACCCCCACCTGCCCTCAATTTCCTTCTCTGCAAAATGGGTGATGGCCACAGGGATCATCTGGGAGGCAGGAGCCACTGAAGCCAAGCACAGAGGGGACCATGAGGTTTCCTGTTTGTCTAGGGTGGCCAGGCTCAGAGGCACCCAGTCTATGGGGCCTGGGCAATGGTGCAGGGAGGAGCTTGCTGTGGGGGTGGGGAGGCTGCCCTGAGAAGAGAACCCTGGCCTCTTCAGAAGGAATAAGGACTGGCCAAGTGGTCAGCATGGGGAAGTGTCCAGGCCAAAGGCACAGTACATGCGGGATCAGGGGCTGCTGGGCAGGTGATGGGGTTGGGTCCAAGGGTGACACAGAGAGTGAGAGCATGGAGGGGCTCTTGGGGGTAGGCTGACCATGGGAGATGAGGACGAACTGGACCAGGTTGGGGTTTGGGGTACAGAGTCCAGATGCAGCTGTCCCAAGCCATGTGTGCCTTCTGCATGTGTCTCTGTCCCTGGTCTTTTCCACTGCCATGTGGGTAAGATGGTACTAGATCCTCCCAGTTGGACTAAAGCCAGTCTCATGGCTCCCTGGTTACTCTCAGCCAGAGCCTTCCAGGTGGCAAGAGCATTGAGGGTCTCATGGCCAGTCCAGTCCTCACACAGGTGGGGCACTACCGCTCAGGGCAGGGCTCATGGCTGTTGTTACAGGAATGAGGACTACCCTGGTCCTGGGCTGCCTTCACTGGGCATGGCTGGGCCACATGGTGTCAGATCCTCAGCTGAGGTCACATGGAAGTCCCAGACCCCAAGGCATGTTCTCTTTGACTGCGTGCTTCAGGAACACCCTAAATGCTCACTCTGTAAATCCTGGGGCCTGCTGGACGCAGTGTGAGACAGTCCAGCTCAGATGAGGTGCCCGCTTGGGTCCATGCTCTCCTGTGTCCTGTGAGCTTCGACTCACAGGCTGCAGTCCAGCAGCCTGAACTCATAGAAGTCAACTAATGGAGAGTCTTGGCGACATCTGGGCCTGACTTTGGGGCATCCTTGTCTGCTTAGTATCCCATCTTCTCTCCCCATTGCCCTCTGCAGGAGGCTGGGGGCTGAACCAGGGCCCCCTCCTCCGAGGTACGGGAAAGGCAGAGAGAAACAGACCAGGTCACATGACCTCGACGTTGACAGCGCAGGGCCTGGCAGGTGAGGGGACTGTGTGTGCGTGGGAGCAGGGGGTCACCCAGGTCTCAGCTTCCCTCTCCGGAAGGGGCGGCGGGTGGTCCCGTCAGCACCACGGACAGCTCCCCCGGACCGGGCAGGTTTTCCGCAGGCCCTCCCTCTGCAGGGAGGGCGCTCAAGGTCCGGCCCTGCTCGGGGTGTGACCTTGGATTTCGGCCTCAGTTTCCCCGCCTTCCGGAGTGGTTCTAGTGTCACGATTCAGCATGACCCTGGAGCTCGTTAAGAGTGTGTGTGTGGGGGTCGGTGGAGAGGGTTAGGGTTAGCATCTGTGGGCTGAGACCTGCTCTCAGGGCTGGAGGGGACAGAGTCCAGCATGGCGTAGGGCGTGGTTTGGTCCCCTGGGCGCCTAGTTTCAAGCGCCCCGGCCTGGCCCTTCTTCGCATCCAAGCTGCAAGGAGACCCTGGGGGACCTCCACCCAGGCCCTCCGCTCTCAGGGAGCCTTAGCAAATCGTAGGCGGAGGGTGGGGGGTCACTGCAGTGTAGGTGTCTCCCGACAACCCCCTCCCTGACGGTTTCCCTGGTAACCGTCTCCTAGGCGACTGCACAAGACCCCAGCGTCAATTCCGGGACGCCCCTGTGCCCCCCACCCTATCCCTGTGCCGCGGGCCCCACCCCAGCCTGTCTGCCTCCTCGCTGGCCGGCTGTCTAAATCCCACCCGTCCCTCCAACCTACCTGGTCCGGAAAAAGGTGCCCACGGCCTGGCCGGCACCCTAACTGGTCCCCGAACAAGGTCGAATGTAGCAGACCCAGGAGCCCCATGAAGCTGCCGCCACCCTGGCCTGACAGCCGCCCCGCCCCTCGGCAGCCGAGGGACCCGTCCGGCGACGCCCATGCGCCTGCGCGAAGGGAGGAGGGAGGAGCGGGAAGGGCCACCCTCAACCCCAGGAACTCACACAGCTAGGTCAGGGTCTCCTAGGATGGGGTTCTGCAGGACTTGAGGAACTCCGTAGGGGGAGGGTGATGGGTGGGGAGGTTCCAGAATAGGAAGTAGAAGACCCTGGCGATGTCGGAGAGGGGGTGCTCCGAGGGGGGGTGGTCTCAGGCAGGAGGTCCCTGGACTGGGCGACTAGAGCTCTGCAAGGTGGGGGGCACACGGAGGGACGCCCTGGAAACGCTTCGTCTGTCCAAGCCAGGCCTGAATCTAGTGCACTATAAGGACAGTGAGGAGGTCCATGTGGCTAGAGCAAAGGCAAAATGGGGCTCTGCAAGGTGGCGGCGACAGGCCACCTGGTGGCCACTGGCAGGAGCAGGGAGCATAGGTTCAGGCAGCGCTCAAGACCCCTTGCTGGGAAGCATTCCTGTACTTTAGGGCAGGGCAGAGCTGACCGGGTGGCACATGTGAGATAGGAAAGGCTGCCTGGGCCTGTTTGAGTGCCTTGAAAAGTGGGGAATTCAAGGGGTAGCTGCTAATTTCCCATTGGCATCCAAGAACTGTGGATAGGGAGGTTGGAAACTGAGCAGGGGCCTTCTGGGGAGATGCCTGGGGGTGGGGTTAGCACCCACTACCTGAAGGCTATTGCCTATTAACTTCCAGACCCACCATGGACAGTGCCTCTTTAAGGGAGCCAATCCTGCCTTCTGACCGGGGCTCTGCCACTCACAGGCCCAGGTGGCACAAAGCAGGGGGCAGCCACCTCCCATCTGATGTGTGAACAAGCCTGTTCCCCATTTCAAAATGGTCTCAACTTCCTTCATAATTATGAGCCTTAAGAGATCAATCCGTTTACAAAGGACCATGATACAATTACTCTTGACAGGGCAGCTGAGGGCCTGAGGCCATTCATTACCTTGTTGGGACTGCACAAAGGGATAGGCAATGAGGGCTCAGACAACTCTTAGTGACCCTAGAAAACAGGCTAGAACTGCCCTGTGGGTTTCCCAGACTTAACTCTCTCCACGTTAAGGCCAGTCTCTGGAGTAGAGTGGCTGATGGTTTCCCACTGCTGACTTTGCAGGTAGCAGCCCCATGTGTGACCACTCGGCCACCACGCCTCCAAGACTGCCCAGCCTCCACCTCACTTGTCTGGAGGGAGACACTCAGCTCCAACAAGGGCTCACAGTGTTTGCTTGGTAGACGGATTCCACCATCTTCAGTCTTGGGCTCCTAGTTCTATCAAAGCTGCGTCTCGTGCATCAAGGGTTACTGTGCATAGGCTTTAGGGTCCAGAGAATGGACCCCGCTCCTGGCTCCTCTTGCTGGTAGGGAGATGGCCCAGCAGGCTGGCAATCACAATTCAGTCCAACCAACTCACAACTGGATGCTCCCACTGTCCCCCAGGCCGATCGGAGGTCAATTCTCGGTTAGACAATGGCCGCCACTGCACTGCAGCCAATGAATGTTTGACTTCGACTGCAGCCCATTTTAAACGTGACTCCTTTCTTGACAGTGAGGAGACCCCTGGCCAGCCCTCCTGCTGCTTAACTACAGCTAGCAGGTCAGGTGGGCAAAGACCCCGGAGTGCACTGGGCTTCCCAGCACCCAACCTCCACTGGGCCCGCATGAGCACCACCCATGCAGCCCCACCCCCCTTCATGTGGCTCTGGGGACGGTCACACCGCAGCACACCCAATAAGCACATTGCCGCCAAAGCATCACTGGGTCTTCATGGTCAGGACATGGCCTTGGCTGTCGTCCCACAGTGGAGCTGGCTCATGGTGTGGGTTGTGTCTTTCTCAGAAGCCTAGATGTACTCTCTTTTAGGCAGTGTGAACCCGACCTGGGGTGCTCCTGGGGTCAAGTCCCAGAAGTTGCCGGAATAGGTGGTCCCTTCTAGCTCATCACTCAGCTGGTTCTCCTCACACCACACAGCCCCGGTACTGCTCTGGAGAGCCTGACCATTCGCATCCCTTTCCTCAAGGTCCGAGATTAGGGTTACTGATCCCCCCGCCCCCCCCACCGTTTGCCTTTTATGAAGAGGAGTCGAGAAAGCAGGGGGTTGCCAACCAGATACCCACTGAGTGATGGGGAGGGCTAGACACCGAGGAGGGCAGGTGCTGAAGGAAGGCTCAGGCTCAGGTCAGGAGAGGGAGCCTTTTATTGGCTGAAGGACTACTTGAGGGGTATGAAACGCGATGAGTGGGTGGCCCCGATGCCGGGCCGGCCGTGCTTGACAGGCTTGTAAGTGATGGAGAACTCGCCCAGGTAGTGGCCAATCATCTCCGGCTGCAACAGAAGGTCAGAAGGTTGAGCAGAGAGTAGGGCCAGTGGGAGGGGCGGGGCGGCCCAGGCGCACTGCTCACACCTTAATCTCCACCTGGTTGAAGGTCTTCCCGTTGTACACGCCCACCATACTGCCCACCATCTCCGGGAGAATGATCATGTCGCGAAGGTGCGTCTTCACCACCTCCGGCTTCTCCATGGGGGGGGCCTCCTTTCTTGGCTTTGCGCAGCCGCTTCAGGAGCGAGTGCTGCTTCCTCCGCAAACCCCGGTTCAGGCGGCGCCGCTGCCGAGCGCTGTACAGCTGCATCAGCTGCTCGCTGACGAGGCGGACACGGCGGCCTGAGCCCTGGGCACTCGCCACGCACCCCTGCGCCCCCCGGCCCCCCCGGGAAGGGGGTGCGGGGGCAACAGCGCGCCCCAGGTCCCCCGAGAGGGAGCGGCCTGATTAGCCCCGAAGTCCTCGCACTTGACAGTCAATCGGGGTCAAGCCGCCCGCGTGGCCCCCTCCCAAGCCCTCGGACGAAGGTTCTGCCTACACCCAGCCCGGGCCGCTGCCAGGGCCCCGCTGACACAGGAGAGGCGTATCGATCCCCGGTCCGTGAGCCCCTTGCCCATCAGGTAGTGACTGGTTGCGTCCACCCGGCCCAGCGCGAGCCCCAGGAGCCCCTTACTAGGACATGTCCAGCAGCTGGTCCAGATCCACGCCGCGATAGGTGAACTTCCGGAAAGTCCGCTTCTTCTTCTGCTCCACCTCCGCCTGCGCGGAGCCGGGGCGGAGGTGAGCAGGCCGCCGACCCCCGCCCGCGGCCAAAGTCGGCCTCCCAGGTTTCGAGGACCGCTCTGGAGGCCCGCACAGACACGCCGCCACCGGCGGGCCTTCCTGGCTTTAACCCATCACCAAGCCCGCTCGCATCCCCACACCCGGGTCACCGGAGGCCGCAGCAGCCGCGGCGCCCTGACTCCGGCGCCTTTTGCGCTGCCCCGGCCCGGATGGGACCGGATGGGCCGGGCGCAGACACGCGAAACACAGTACTCACCATCTCGTCGGTGCTATGGGAAAGAGCGCTTGCTCCCGCGCCGACGCAGTTAACGCGAGATCGCTCTACGTGCACCGCCCCCTGACCATGCGCGCGGGCGCGCTTCCGCTTTCCCGTGGATGGCGCGCGCCCCCTGCTGTCGGGAGGCCGTAGCACAGAGTTCTGGGGTTAGCGAAGGGAGACCTAACTTTCCTAGCACTTCTTGGCGTTGTGGTCACGCGTTGGGCTGCTAACCGGAAGGGGGCTTTCTGCTCCCTTAAAGAGCTACCGTCCGGTTAGAACTGAGTCAAAATTGGCTCGATGGCAGCGAGTTTGTTCGGGGAGGACACTCTCCCTACCCCCCCACCCCCCGCTAGAGCCGGTCGCTTGGTGCTTGAGCGGGTCACTATCCCTTTCTTAGCCCAACATCGTGTTCCGGTTCGGTTCGTAACCTACATGATGGCTCCCACCTGCGGAGGTTTACGGCGCACCTCTTGCGGGGCTGGGCTGAGGGTTTATGGGCTTGTCATGCAGTTTCGGTTCCCCTGTGGGAAAGCCTTGGGCTCACGGACCCAGAACAAAGAAAAACACAAAACGACATTTCTGCTATCAGAGCTAAGAGGGAAGGAAGCAGGGTACAGGGCCTGGCTTCATCCTCAATTGTGGGGGCTTCCTGGCTGTCGGGGAACCGCATGGCCGGGCTGCTCCAAATCAGCTGTCTGCTCATCTTTGGGACACAGACCAGGCCCTTTGAGCTGACCCACTTCACCCTCAGGCTCTTGGGCAGCAACCTGCCTTCAATCGAAAACCAAACCCACTGCCATGGAGTCTGCTTTTGACTCCTCGGCACTCCATAGGACAGGGTAGAACTGCCCCCGTAGGGTTACAGATCTGTCCTGGAAGTAGTCAAAATATGTACACGAAAGGACGTGCAGACTTCACCTTTGGATATGCTTTCAGGAGGATGTCAGGGTTACCAGAGGGCCGGCCAAGGAGGGTCCCTATCACGAAGGCTACAATGCACTCTATCGTGAGGCTGTGAGGGTGATGGCCCTTCTCTTGTACCCAAAGTCCAGGTACAGAGAGTCTAAAGCAGAGAGCATGTCTTTACAGAAGCTGCCAGCCTCATCTGGGGATCAGCTTTGAGGTTATAGCCTACACTGATCCTCCCCAGTCATCAAGGGCCCCCGATTTGAGGCTAGGACTTTTGTGTGAAACAGGTCTTTGGCCCCTATAGCTCTCCCTCTGGCTGCAGATTAAGTACTGTCCAGTGGAAACCATGTGGGCTCCAGGATGGTGTGCAGCAGGGGTGGGCCAGGCCCGCCTGTGATGATGGGTGGCATTCAAGTCTACCCGGCAACCCTCCTGGCACAGCCCATTCCTGCTCTCTCCATGGACATGAGTCCAAAGCCCAGGGCAAGCCCCCAGCCAGCAGGAGGGCACTCTGGGTCACTGTGCACCTGCACACACAGGACACGGGGCCCTGCTATCCGGGGGCACTGCCCAAAGTGCAGGCTAGCTTTAGGTCACTCCCACTGTGGTCCCCAAACCCGCTGGCCTGCAACTTCAGATGGCTCCCCTCACCTCACCCGAGGTCAGGTCACGACCACCAGAGCACCCAGCTTAGACACACACTGAGGCCCCTTCCTCAAAGCCCCAAACCCACCCTCACCAAGTGGGGAACCATTTTTGTTCGGTGATGGTCATGTACCTCAGCTGAATGACTCTCAAAGGCAGGAGGGCAACCAGACCCCTCAGTCTTGGAGCATGCTTGGCCTCCCTGCCCAACACCCATGCTGCTCCTGGGCGAGCCAGGCAGGCACCCTGGTGAACAGATACCCGCAGCCGGGCTGGCACCCCAGCTGGGGAAGAACAGACATAAGTGGGTTCTAATCCAAACACACTTCTTTATTCAAACTAGGGCCAAACTGGTCAGCGCGGACACACGGACACATGCCCGAGGAGGAGGCTGGCTTCTGACACAGGCTTTGGGCCACCAGGGCTCCCAATGGGCTTGGACACGTGGGCTGGGTGCCCCAGGGGACCCCAGGGAGCCTGCAGACACCGCCAGTCGACAAAAGGAATGAACGAAAACAAAACACTCAGTAGATTCTTCTTCGCGCCCTGGGGTTCCTGGGCCCTGGCGCCAGAACAACAGGAAGGGACAGGCACCTTGCGTCCCTCGGCGCTTGACGGAACCCTGCTTTAAATTAAGAAACAAGCCAGGATACATCGTAGAAAATTTCTCTTAAAAATCTCACAATTTGTAAGTGTATATTTTTTCTTTCAACATAAAAGTTTATAATACACGTAACACAAAGGCTCAGGAAAGTAATTTCAGAAAAAAAATGAGAGAAAGAAAAAGAAACCTGAAGTTCTGAATTAAAGCTGAAGACAATTTTTAAAAACCCTGTTGTTTGAACCAGTGACTCTCTGTTTATTGTGCTGACGGTCCGAGAAAGGAAGATGCTGCAGACCCTCAGTTCACACCCCCTCAGCCTTGCGTCGGATGCCACCCGCCCACCCACCCGCCCGCCCGCCCACCGTCAGGTAGTGTGATTGTCGCCAGCTCACAGGTCGGAGTCCTCGGTCTCGGCTGGGCCCGCCCACGGGCCGGCTAGCGTCGGTACGGGTGGAACCCTTGCACATTGTGGTTCTGGCCTCGGCCAAAGCCGCTTCCGCCGGCAGGGGGGCCCCCAGACCCCGGCACTGAGGGTCCTCCATAGGAGGGGGGCTGCTGGCTAGGGTCTGAGAAACCCTGTCCGAAGCCACTCAAGTCCTGTCCGTAACCTGCTGGAAGGGGAGAGGGCTGTGAGCACCGGCCACACACTGGAGGCCAGGTCTCAGACGCCACTGACCTTAGAGGTCCCGTGCTTGGTCGCACGCCTGCGCCAGGACATGAGGGTGCCAGCACCCACCACACTACCTCTGCCAGGGAGACATGCCCAGAGTCCCCACTTCCCACATAGCTGGCCCCCCCCAAGAAAAAAAACAACCAACACTGGAGATGGGTTGTGGCCACTCCCCTGGAAAAGGCCAGCTGGGCAGCCAGAGCCTGAGGACCTCAGCAGGAGAGCAGGCCCAGGCTGTAACATCAGACACACTCTGGACAAGTGTTTCTGAAGGTTCTCGAGCAGCATGCATGGAGGGCTCAAGCAAGCCCATGCCCCTTCAAGGATGGCAGTTCATGGGCACCCCGTTGGCCCCTGGCCAGGCCCCATCAGTACCCTCCTCCCAAGGGGGTTAGGGGGGGCATGGACAGGGGAAGGGGGCAGGACCAGGTGTGGCCATCCAGCTCAGTGGCTTCAAACTCGTTGTCAGGCCCCAGGAGCCTGGACCCAGAAGCTCCGGTGGAGGGTGGCCGCCAGCACCACTGCCTCATGGTCAGGCAGGAAGGGCCAAGACCCAGAGCTGGCATCACGGCTCGGCTGGTGTCCCCAAGTGTGTGGGCGGGCGGGCGGGCAGGCAGACGCAGGGCTCGGGCAGCCTCATCCCAGCTGGGCGCGGGAGGGGTCCCGGGGAGCGCCACCTACCTAGGCCACCTCAGTGCTGGGCCTGACCATAAGGGAGTAAACAAAGCAGGGGCCCGAAGCCTGCCGGGTCTGGAGGGTAGGAACCCGGGCCTGGTGAGAGACGAGACCAGGGTGACGACCCCAGCCGCCCA